TTTTTTACATACCTGTTACTATCACAAGGGGGCAGTATTCACATCAACCACAGCTGAATATAAAAAGACCGATCAGCATCCAGATTAAGTTCCCGTGGTACAGATTTTTTTTTTTTTTGCAATAGTTGATGATTTTACATTTACCCAGTAATTATAATTCATGAAGTGTCGTTTTACCTCCAGTACTGCTGCTTTCAACACAGTAGCTGCTTTCAACACAGCAGCTGCTTTCTACACAGTAGCTGCTCTCTACACATTTGTGACTGGTCTGCATTAATCCATTATGGTGCCAGCCTTGTCACATACACCTGTATTTGTACAGGGTGTATGTGATGGGGTTGGTGCAATGGTGTCATCATGCCGGGTACTTGTATGTGGGCGTATCTGCATGTGGATGGACCCGCCTGGAGACAGAGGAGCTGTGTCTCGGTTCCTAAGACCATCGAAAATATGTGTTTTCCGATGGTCTTAGGCGACCCCTGTGAAAGGGTCATTCGACCCCCAAAGGGGTCGTGACCCACAGGTTAAGAACTGCTGTTCTAGAAGTTTTCTGTTGGTCCTCAGGAAATAGCCCAGAACTTCTGATGGAAGTCCCTACCCTTATGAATATGTCTCTAAGATATTTTAAAGGATTATAAGAAAATTTTAGAGGTTTTTAATATTTCATTTGAAAGTAATTTTTCCCATAGCATACATTCTTTATATTTGCTGTATCTATTCAACAATAATATACTAAATTTGTACTGAAAACCTAACAACTGGAAATTGATTTGAACAGACGCTATTGAAATGGAGAATCTGCTGTGACTTTTTTCATTATTAAGTAATACTGAAGTCTTTAGACAAAGCCTGAAGGTCTCTAATTTGACCTGTGTAGTTTAAATCTCTCAATAGCAACATATAATAAACATTTCTGTTAAATGAAAGATTCATTGACCCCAAACTAAACATTCACTTTACCAGTCACACATCTTAATTTTCAGATACTTTGAAGATGAGGAAGAAGACTCTAGCAATGTTGATTTACCTTACATTCCTGCTGAAAACTCCCCTACCCGCCAGCAATTCCGTTCCAAGCCAGCAGATTCTGACAGCGATGATGATCCCTTGGAGGCATTCATGGCTGAAGTGGAAGCAAGTATCAACTCTGTTTTGTTAAAATGCTCAGTAATTAGAAAATAGCTCAAAGTAAACTAGTGCTTCAGTCCTCATTCAGAATTTGTTTTCTGGCCTTTTTGGGGGAGAATTTTGCTCTTATACACCAGTTTCTTAAATATACTTCCGCTTGCCCTGTAAACCTTGAACATAGTAGCTCAACATTTTTGTGTGTGTTTTGTTTTAATAATTCTTGGTATATTCTTAAGTGGAATGAACATCTCATTCAACCTATATTTTATTAAATACATATTTAAGGTAGTTACATTTAAGGAACTTGCTAAAATCACAAATTTTGTATTCTCTACTTTTAATGTTTAGCATTTCTTACTACCAACATTATCATCAACATTCATGACTTCCCTGTAGAAATTGAAACTTCTGGCTACTCCATAAAATTCTTCTTACTAGGCTCTTATGATTTTGCATTTTGTCCTTTTTTTCCCCATCTCTGATTTTTCTTTTTATTTATTATTTACTTGTTATTAAGAAAAATTTTAAACATACAAAAGTATAATAATAAAATGAGCCTCTAACACCAACCAAAACTATTCAGAACATAGATGTGCTTTTGCATCATGGTAGCAAGTTAGTAAATATATTAAATGATTCTCTCTAGAAGTAAAGGCAATAAATGGTTTGTCATGTTTTAGATGTCTTTATATATATGTATATAACCTTCAGATATGAACATTTCTCAAAGGAGTTTATTTCTCATTATTTCTTGAGATATCCTTAGTGATGAATTAGAAGAAAAATCAGCTCTTTATTTTCTAGGTTTAAATTTAGATTTGATTTTTGCAAGCTGTCATCACCCTTTTTGAGTGGGAGTATCCAAGCATGGCCTAGATTCAGTTGCTTGGCATTTCAAGTAGTTGAAGCAATTTGGAGATTAAATCTTTTTGATATGGTATCATTCTGAATATTTTCTGGTGTAGTATCTAAAAGGGTCTTACTGGTTTTAGGACAGAGATATTGGATATTGTCTGATCTTGGAGAAAGTGTTGTTGCCAAAGTATACTGATGTTCAGTATAAATTTTTCTATGATTGAACTCAAAATGAGGATTTTATTTTACTTTTTAAAAAAATATATATTTTATTGATTTTTTTACAGAGAGGAAGGGAGAGGAATAGAGAGTTAGAAACATCGATGACAGAGAAACATTGATTAGCTGCCTCCTGCACACCTCCTACTGGGGATGTGCCCGCAACCAAGGTACATGCCCTTGACCAGAATCGAACCTGGGACCTTTCAGTCCGCAGGCCGACGCTCTATATCCACTGAGCCAAACCAGTCAGGGCTTATTTTACTTTTTGAGGTATGATTTTTGTTTTTCTCTTCTCAGTCATATGAGGATTTATTTTTAGCCAGTGTTTCAAAAAAGGAATTATGTAGGCTTAACAAATATGTTCTATAAGTGTTTGCCAGCCATTTCTTATGTTACATTGTTTATGTCGTCTTCACTTTAATTATAGCCTTAAATGCAGGTGGAGCCAAAGTAGATTTACAGTTGTCCGTATGGAAAATAATGCAATAACTAATAATAATACAAGAATAATCTATGTTTCACATACAATTGTAAACCTACTTTTTGCCCCACCCTGTATATCTTATATGTGGCTCAATCCCTTGAAAAATAGATTGTGTATATTTCTTTTTTTTAAAATATATTTTTATTGATTTTTACAGAGAAGAAGGGAGAGGGATAGAGAGTTAGAAACATCGATGAGAGAGAAACATCGATCAGCTGCCTCCTGCACACTCCCTACTGGGTATGTGCCCGCAACCAAGATCGGGCCATTGGAGCAAAATCGTCAGGTGTGGTACAACTGCATGCCCTGCCCCCAAGAAATACTAAAGGTCTAAGTCAGGGGTCCTCAAACTACGGCCCGCGGGCCACATGCCAATACAAATATTGTATTTGTTCCCGTTTTGTTTTTTTACTTCAAAATAAGATATGTGCAGTGTGCATAGGAATTTGTTCATAGTTTTTTTTTAAACTATAGTCCGGCCCTCCAACAGTCTGAGGGACAGTGAACTGGCCCCCTGTTTAAAAAGTTTGAGGACCCCTGGCGTTAGGGCTATAATATTTCTTTTAAAAATAATTTCTCTTTGTCAGGACCACTTGATTAAATAGGATGCCAGGTTTTTTACACTGGCATTTTTTAAATGAAAGAAGTCAGGAAAATTCATGTTACTTTATAACAAGAAACTTGTGCAGAATGTGTTTAACTTTGGGAAAATTTAATTTTTCTAACCTTGATATTCACACATAAAACAAAGAATTAATTTAGATCAGTGATTATAAATTTTCTTTGTATAAGAATGTGCCTGTGGAAAATGGGAAAACTACATGCAATTTACTCTATCCACAAGGATTCTGATATAGGAGGTTTGGAGCAGGGTGTTGAGCCCCAGAACTATTGGGGCTCAGTCATTCTTTGTTGTAGTGACTGTTTTGTGCATTGTTGGATGTTTAGCAGTGTCTGTGGCCTTTATCCACTAGATATTACTAAAGACCTCTCCTTCCCTACTC